ATCAATAAATATTCATTTCGAGTGGAATATTAAGTGTGCAATAAAGCTTGACTGTTACGAATTACCTGATCGTTTATGATACATTGTAACGCTATAATAAAACTATATCAAACATTTATGTAGGTACTCCTACAAAGCTTAGAATAAGCAAAGATTTAGATTAGAAAATTTGATTGAAATCAACATTTACTTAACGTTTCACGAGCGGGACCTTGTTAAACATTTACTGAAAATACACGTAGCAAGGTTCATTTCCATTCGTTACGAACCATTTAAATTCTCTTTTTAACAAAAAAGGACTTCAAAAAGGTAAGCTCGTCGTCGAATCAAAATCTAGAGCGCGAACCGTTAAATTAAAAATAAATATTGCGAAACGTCAGCATGTTACGGGTTGGGTTCTGGAATATATCCAGGGAAAAATCGAAAAACGTTAGGATGGCCGATGTCGGTTCACAGGGGTGGTTTGGGGTAAGGTGAATCTTTTTGTGAAGTGGAGAGAATTAATTTAACCCGCTGCGGGGTAACACGACATGGCGGTAATTGAAAAGTTTGCCCCTTGTAGCTGTCGACGCCGAAGGCGACGCGTCTTCACGACACTCAGGTTTTATAACAGGCTTTTATTATAATTGATAATTTCAAGTAAGTAGCTCTAATTTTGAAATACTGTTAAATGATTTTTTAATTAAGTGTAAGTAGGTAGTGTTTCTGAAAACGGTTATGAATTTAAATGAAGAATTATTGTTAATGAATTATTGCAATGGTAGCCAGTTCCCGAAAAAGTGTTAACAATTTCTCATGATGGAATGAATAGTATTATTCCACTATGTTATCGAATGTGAAAGAACATTAAATAAATAAATAGATAATTTTAAGTTCGTTGGAATTTTCTATTGATGATATCTAATTAACTTTGAGAAAGGTTGTTCAAGAAAAGCTTTTAGATATCAACAATCCTTTAACTTTTTCATCGAGTATCAAAAGTACTCGTAACTTGAAGAAGGGAACGCCTGGCTTGCTCGCCCCTGATCGATTTTAAATTAATTTTATAAAGTTAAATTGGGGATTATGTTTATTTGATCACTTGACGGAGACTCTGACACTGTATTTTGTTTACGATAAAACCTAACCAATTTGTTATCTTAAAAAAGAATTTACTATAATTTTTATTCATCAAACCTTCATACCATTATCAAGAGGTATAACATTAAATGATTTTTATACCGTAACTTCTAACACATTGAAGGAGTGATTATAAAAATAATCACTAACCGTAGTAAATATAAAAATCAAAAATAATAAATAAGAAATGTACACGTCAGCAAAACAACATCAATACACATGGTATTTAATGATTTTACACCCACATCGTACCTGCCGGATTTGCGTATACATGTCTATTCGGGGACACAAAGGTAGCCGGGTGTGTTGACGCAATGGCTAACATCGATTCGGTCTGTTTGCCAACGATATTGAAGTTAGCTGATTGGCTCCCTGGCTGGTGGACTTGGCAAACTTAATGATTTACTTTTCACAGGAACGTGACCTTTTTGTATTAGCCATTCTGAAATTTTGATGGATTTGTGTATCACTTTTTGTTACACGTATTTTTGGAAAGTAGGTCACGATTTATTAGTAGGCCTTGATGATATTTTTTGGTATAAATTCTTTAAATTTAAAATACCGTTATTGATTGTTTACAATACTCTTGTTTGCAATACATAGTAATTAGGATATGACTGACTGTAAAATACTATCTGCTTTGAAGTGTAACATTCTCGGTTTCCTTGAACATAACATAACATAACATCACGCCTTTTATCCCGAAGGGGTAGGCAGAGGTGCACATTATGCCACTGTACAATGTAACACCCACTTTTTACTATTTATGTTACGAGTCCCATGTAATAGGGGGTGAGCCTATTGCCATATACCGGGCACAATTCCAGACTCCGTGCTACTACTGAGTTTTTTTTTAAACCCAGTAATACTTTGCCCGACCCGGGAATCCAACCCGAGACCCCTTGCTCGGCAGTCGCACTTGCGACCACTCGGCCAACGAGGCAGTCCTTGAACATATAATACACCTAAAACGAGCGCCTTTGTAAAAAAAGGTTGTTAAACATATCATCTATATAACGTACATCCAAGAAGATGTGTTTGATAAATAGTTTTATTTATAAAAACTGTAAATAATATTTCTTTACAGTAAACATGGTTCATTAAACGTGAAACAAGATCCAGCTCAACAAATTGTGTGAGCTGTGAACTGAAAGCCACGCAGGCAGGCTGCTCGTGACTGATTAATGGAATTAATTCATTATTCTGCGGTTGCGGCCGGGAAGCGACGCAGTCGAACTCAGAACGAATGAATTCATAATGCCTTGTCTGCGATTGTTCACGGTTTCAAGTCGGTATTTGCGAAAAACATGCCATCAACTATTTCTCCTTTTTAGTACTTTGTTCGAATTAGTATTGGGTTAGGATACAATCACATTAATTTATTCATAATGACTAAACCGGGACTAATTTTAGCGTTTAATGTAAGTATCTCATGTAGCCCCCAGGGTTTACTTTTTTAGAATAACGACACACATGTGGTCATTGCTCAGATTATTATATCGACTCTAATATTAGTTTTTGGGGCCTATTATAATTCGTGTTGAATAGGAATCAACGAAATATAAGCCTGCAGTTACGTTTTGGAAGGATTTCCATTGTTACGATTGTGTACTGATAGTGGAATACATATACCTACAGACACTACAAGTAAAAATTCTTGAATGTCATGGCAACTCTACATATTTGAATATTTGGTAACTATATTATGTTCCTAGCGTAAACATACCAATTTCCCAGGGAAAAACAAGATAAAAAAATGTTTGACCATAACAAAGCAACTCGTAGCACAGTGCTACGGCGGCGTAGTTCATTTCATAGCTCGTAGTATAAACTTTATTCAGTCCTTCCTTTTATCTAGATATTTTATTTAACTAGGTGAAGCATAAAGTGGTTAATTAGGTGACGAGCTATAGAGCTGAGAATCAGGTATATTCGTATGTACTTAGATACGACGTGCGGGTGGAACGGAGCTCGCGTCGGCGGGTAAGTTTCGTGAGGGCGTATAATTACGCGAGCGAGTAAACATATAAAGGTAATCCGGGCCGCGGCGGCACAAAGTGATGCTCGTGAATAAATTAGCGACAGAGCACCTGCGGCACCACCGCACTCCCACTGCTACCTACTCCAGGGCTATCTACTCCAACTGATTAGTGTTTTTAATATTTGTAAAATGGAGTAGGTATGTAATAGTCCAACAGTTTTCGTGAGTTGCGGTAAATTATATCTATGCTTATCTGATTTGTAGTCTTTTCATGATTTACTAGCGTTTTTTGAAGTTATTCATTTGGAAAAGTGAGTGATATATTTTGAGTTAAGCATTTAATTATTTACGACCTATTAAATAATTTGCAATATCTTGTTTTCAATTTATATTCATGTAATATTCCAAAAAAGATAAACACAGTCATGTGCAGTTGAAAATTAGTATCGAATATATCTACTTACGGCCATTTTCTATAACCTATCTATCTGTAGATTTGCTTACTGAGATAGAATTTTGACACATTTTGTATGGAGCATATGTCAAAATTCTATCTCAATGCAAATCTACAGATAAATAGGTTAAAGAAAATGGCCATTAATCGAAACGTCAAGTAAAATCGAGGTGAGTACATGACCTGTTATGGGAAAATGAGGCTAATTGTGGTGGACCAGATTTGAGTTTCGACAACCCTAAATCAGATAAGATGTATCTATTTGTATATAAAGTAGGTACGTACTAAAAGGCTTCGTCACATGGCGAGACGAGCCCGACTTGCGGGCGACATGGGACTCTATGAATATTCAATTTATTCACAAGATTTTACTTAGAGAGAATTTAGATTTAGATCGAGTCATATATTATAAAGTAAACTAAAATATATTATGGTGGAATTAGAAACAGAATATGAATAAGTTAACAGGTTAATGATATTGGAGGACAAATCAAAGTGGTAGTTCAGACACATTGTAGTGTAACAGATCATAAAAAAGAAGGGATGGTACCATGAAGGCTGCCCACGGTCGTTTTTGATGGTCTGTGCAAAGAGTAAATAATAATAAAATGTCGACAGATTACTACCCCCCTTTTCTATATTAATTATTTTTGAGCTTTATTATTTGGAGTTATGCATATTTGGAAATCGATGTAGGTAGCCATCGTTAAATGATAATAAACGTAAATTATGGTTGTTGCTAACAGTAGTAAGTAAAAATATACTTAGGTTGCAGATATAACATATAAGTACAATAACAGAAACCCATTCAAATACGCCATAAATAAAGAGGACAAAGGCTGACATCGCAACACCCGCCACAATATTGGGTTCATAGAGGTGACGTAATGACAGATAGGATCCGAAACTGCTGTGGAAATTGAACTGGCCGCCGGCAAACGCTATATTTCACTCAATATTTGAGCGAATGGACAGAGGACAAAACAACCTGCTGTGAGCCTGATGGACGGTATGCCACGTTATGTGCTGAATGATAGTGCGGATCTACGATAGCAAATAACATGCGGCCATTGTCGGTCTAACCATTGTTACGAGTTTACCGCAGTTCATACTCACTGTATGTTTTCGGTTTGGTTATAGTATATTGATTGGTTTTAAGCTCTATACTTTCTGAATGCATTATTCTTTTTACGCTCAATCTCAATGCTACATGTGCTTATTGGAAAACATGTTAAGTACTGTTAATTGCTAATTTTACGTACCTACGCATTCGTATATATTTAGTTTGATTTGAATTTCGCAATAGAAAAGTTTGACAAAAGCGAGTTCGCGTTGACATACCTAAAGACTGTCGTTAGGTATTATTTCAAGTCATTATGACTTTTGAACAAATGTGTGAGTCAAATATTAAACTGATAAGTTCCGTCATACAGAGATAGGACTTACCATCTTTGTTCATATTAGCTTGGAAACACTTGGCGAGGCGACAGGCGCGGCACTGGTTCCTATGTGTCTTGTCGACGGGGCAGCGGCCCTTCATCTCACCCCCAGCCTTGCAAGTATACACCCGATTGCGGTGGATGGACCGCTTGAAGAATCCAGAACAACCTATAAATAAATATTTAAGTTAGATAGCTTGATATGTTTTCTATTGGAGATATCGCATCGAATTCATAATTCCTTTTAAATATCACATAGATTGCGAATCCTTACGATTACGCTGCCTGCGTCCCGCCTCCTCCTTAGCTAGCATAACCGACCTGCACTAGGCCCGGACGCGAGAGTACGCCATCGCCGATCACTTCCCTGAGAGCACGGTGGTGCTAAGCCCACGCAGAGCCTACTGTGTGTTCCACCGTGTCCTCAGGGCAGTCCTCGCAGTGATGACGTTTCCTCCCGCCCCATCAGACACAGGTACCTCCGGAAACTTCCATGTCCGGTGAGGACCTGCGTCAGGCGATGGGTGGGGACGCCGTAGCGTCTCTCAAGCCACTCCTCAAAGAAGGGAGTTACCGCTGCAGCGGCTATCTGGCGCGGCAGTGGAGTTTCGCCCCGGTGAGACGTTCCTCCGCGCGCATGCAATACACGCGCGCAAGCACCTTTCACTTTTCGTCAACTCTACCGCTAAGCCTGAAGACGAAAGTCTTCAACGAGTGCGTCCTACCAGTCATGACATACGGAGCCGAGACGTGGACACTAACAGTGCGACTAGTCCACCAATTTAAGGTGGCGCAGCGAGCTATGGAGAGGGATATGCTCGGTAATATCTCTGAAGGATAGGATCCGTAAGGAGGTGATCCGACAGAGAACTAAAGTTACCGATGTAGCCCAAAGGATTAGCAAGTTGAAATGGCAGTGGGCCGGTTACATTTGTCGAAGAACCGATGACCGCTGGGGTAGACGTGTTCTGGAGTGGAGACCGCGTCTAGGTAAACGTAGTGTAGGGCGCCCTCCTGCTAGGTGAGTGACGATATACGTAAAGTGACTGGTAGCGGTTGGATGCGTAGAGCTGAAGACCGAGCTCAGTGGCGTGCCATTGGAGAGGCTTATGTCCAGCAGTGGACGAAAACAGGCTGTTGATGATGAGCACCTTCGCATTCAGATCCCACGGCGGTAATCCGGCAAGGTGGTTCACCGCCTCCCCGGAGATTGTGCGGTATCCCCGGATCATTCAGATCGCCATGACCCTCTGTGACATGAGCAGCACCCGAGCGGGCCGCCACATCAGGTTCGGCGCCCACACAGGGGCGCCGTAGAGGGCCATGGGCCATGGAGGATGCGCTTAAACGCAGCCCCTGTCCTCTCCAACTTTGGAGCTAAACGTCAGAAGTGCTCTACGAAATCCCACCGACTGTCGAGGACGAGTACCAGGTACTTCATCGTCGTCTCGACGCCGATGGTAACCTCTGCCGCCGTTATTTGGGACTCACCCGGAGGTGGCGCGTTCTCGCGGCCATCGGCTATGAAAACACATGGCCTCGGACTTTTGGGGCGCCACCTCGAGTCTCAATTGTCCGATTCTCTCAACGACTGAATGCTAAAGAGTAGCACACAATGAAGCATAATCAAATCAATGCAAGCCAACTGTCTAAGTTTTCGTAGTCAAATTAATCAAAAGATATACATAATTGAAGGAATGGAGAAGAAATACTACATTTCCACGCCACTAGGTACCTACTCTGTTTTCTATTGATGGATATTCATCATAATGAGTTCAGATAATGAGTTAAATAAATGTATGAAGATCAAAATTACGCTTCTTAATAGATAAACTATTGAAAATCGATTATGAACATTTTGCAGAATTATAATGTAGTATAAGTAAAACTAAGCGCTTAAGAAGATTTATGAAATCATTTGAAAGGGATTGATGAAATCACAAGAGATTAATAATCACTGAAGGCTCGTACACACGGCCACACATCAATCTATACAAAACCAGTACATCCTGGTGTCGCGTCGCATCATCTTTCCGCACATTTAACGTTCAGTTTAAATTGGTTATGTAAAGCTCGATGTGTAGCCGTGTCTACCAGTGCAAAGCCGGTACTATTTTAATTTTATTTTTCTGTCACACAAGCCTTGTTAGATCACGGCTCAAGGCAACGCAACAATACTAGAGTGTTGAACACTAATGATTTATACATCTGATGCAAAGTTATTTACAATACTTACAGCTTTAGAACAAATCTATTTAGTTTAATTTAATTCTATTCAGTTTAAAATACACGACTACTGTAGTTAACTAAAAAAATTATTGTTGCTTTTGTTACCACTGTACCAACGACAACACAAATTTTGAGAGATATGAGTTATAATTATCTCAATAAATCCTTTTTAACTCATAGGTAATCAATCTACGCTAACTGGTAAGCAAATTATGCTTCAGATGCCATTTGAATTTTTTTTATTATATTTTTCTTTTGATTGTTAATGGCGTCCGATATATTTTTTTCATCTAAAACGGCTAGTATTTTTAAATTTTTAATGAAATTTAAAATAATGTAGTCATAAATTAGATTTTCTGAATTATTATATTTTTCTATTTCTGTTAATTTAAATAATTTTAAACTTATATAATTTGTTTATAAACCAAAGTAACAAAGTATTAACCATTTTTGATGAAAAAAATATTTGAACGCCATTTGTCACATAAGAAAAAAAGTGGTTAATGGCATCCTGCAAATCTTTTCGTGGCCAGTTATAGCTTATCTATATCTGTAATAATTATGTACCTGATCTGGTTATACATTATAACGAAAAAGGTTTTTCTGATATTGTCTATATTTTTTGTATTAAATAAATAATTATAATTATATTATTCCAAGTAAATATTCTTACAATATATTTTGTGCACGATCCTTGTTGGGATTATTTCTTGTGATTTTTTAAAATGCAATTACATAACTTCATTTACCTTTGTACCTAAGTGCGTTTTGGCTAATCTAGATTTGTATACGCAATCTACATCTAAAATTATATCTTCACGATTTGGTGAACGTGATTATTAAATTGCGTTTACTACGCAATAATCACGTTCACCATACGTATAATAATATTATGTACAGATTAAAACATCAATTAAGAGATAAAACATTAAAAACATACATTTTATTTAGGTATATCATGTGGCAGATAAAACTAGTTATAGGCAGAACAATTAAATGCCTTATGAACACTAATTTCAAGGCTACGTAGTTACATAACTTATTAAAATAAAATATGGAAAATATAACAAAATTATAAATACAAGGAACAATTCGTTGAAATTATGTTTAGCTACTTTACTTGGAAATTTATTGTAAGGTTTTTGTTTTTTTTTAAATCGTTGGTCATATTTAATCTGTAGTACCTATTATGACCAAATTACAGATCGCATTGACATTTTCCGTGTAAAAATATGTCCTGGAATTGTACGTAGATCGATTTTTTATTTATATTTAATCAAATAGATTTTTATTTTCCTACAAGATAAACTAAGTAGTTACTTATGTTAAATTTAATTTCTGATTTCATATTGCTGAGGTAGCTCAGCAATATGATTTCAGATTTAAGTAGCTAAATTATCAATTTATCTACATACTTCTTTTAAAACATGAGTAGGTAATATTTATACTGAGCATTTAAATCAGTATAATATATGTCAAAACAAGGAAAAATAGACTAGAGAAGGGATTAGAAGATAATAATGTGTCATAAAAGTAAACATGTCTACTCATCATTTTCCAAAAAGAAATGACTAACTCGTTCATTTATCCTTTAATCAGTTTATTATCGAGTTATCTGTACAATCTGCTATTAATGTCTGTAATTGTGTAATTGGAAGATAAATAAATGTACACATGTCCTGTAGTAAACATCAAACAAATGGGTTTCTTACCGTCGCAGCTGTAGATACCGTAGTGCTTGCCAGAGCTCCTATCCCCGCAGACATTGCAAGGGATGTCAAGTAGACGGTCACCTGGAATCAATAATAAGCAATAAGGACAAACATGAATAATTAATATCTCACACAAAATCATGTATAGTGTGTACAACTGATCCAAAAGTATGCTTTACTTTGTGTCAAAATTAGCTCTTTAAAATAGCTACCTAATTATATTTGCCGATAATTGTTTCCGTAAGCGACTTGCTTCATCTTTTAGTTCATACGGATTCTGCTCGCCGATTGTCCCTCTGTAGGGACAGGGACAATCGGCGAGCATATTACGAACACAATAAGAAAACAGAATTATATCTCTTACTTCACTTAGGCGTAAACCTGATTCCACGATGCTAGGTAATGATACAAGTGTTTATTTACTAACTGATACTTCTCCGACACCTCGGAGCTCCCCTTTCCCAAAATAGATTAGTCAGATTACACCAATCTCGCTAATAACGTTGGTGTTTTTGTTCCGTTTACAGAAGCCTTCCCTCCCGTCCCCTTTTCCTTAACGCTTCTTAAGCCTACTGTCACACCGAACAGAAGAAACTATTCTTTCTGCTTTGAAAAGTGACAGAATTCGTATAATATTTAGCTGAGGTATTTAAATGATTCTCAATGTTAATGTTAGGTTAGACATTATGTAAAACACACACTACTTGCTAGTAGTCAACTTCTAAACTCCATTTAACCAATAGACTCCATAATTCCATAACATATTTTTTTTATTGTGATGAATTTTACCTATTCATTTAGCTAGGATTCGTTAATGTAGGTAGGAGACCTGCCTTGAGGACCATGGAACTGCTGTCAGTATCTAAATAATAATTTCTAAATAGGTATCTAGAAGAAAACGTCCTGTACAAAATACGACAAAAACGTAAATTATAGGTATTTTTGATCCAATATTTTCCGAATACTTTGTTCGTTTGTTCCCTTCAAATATTTCAATTTGGTGTTACAAGAGACCTCCATCTTAATGCCGTGAATCCTTTTCGCGGAAGGATCCTTTATTTTTTCGTTAAAACGGACTTAGACGACTTTACTGTTCGTCTTACGAGCCTCCCGGGAAAGCCGCGAAGTGCCGTAATTATCCCCTTTTTTTGCGCACTTTGAAAAGTTCTTTGTGGATGGAAAATGATGGGGTTCAGCTGCGTAGTAGACAGAAACAAATTATAATGTAAGAATTAAACATTTTATTTCTTTTAACAATGTCATAATTTTAAAACTTTTATTAATTTTTGTAGTAGTTTAGCGTCTTATTATTTAAGCTACAAGAATAGCATTCTAGAATAGTGTGAGGTATCTAAAGGTAGGTTTTATTAATCAAAACAAGACCTGCTGATGGTAAGAAGTGATTAGTAATACCAACAATCACGAATGTTTATTAATATAACTCGGTTGATACTCAAGAAGAAAAAAAAATATCTATTACATAATATTATGAAATATTCATTGGCTTATTCACTAGCTCTTTTCTTCCTCACGAAACCAATTCAGCCAAATAATATTTATCATCATCACGTCTTAAATCCTTTTCTAATTCCCTTCCGAAGTCTACTATTATTATCTCATAAGAAAATTGGTAATAAAATTGTAATCGACGAACTTGATAAATAATACTGATTTATCAAGTGATTTATAATATTAATTATTTTATCGAAGCGGATGCGTTTTTTCCCAAACCAAATAAAATCTTGGTCTGTAGAACAACGCATTAAAAATTTTCATACTTAAATATACTTAAATCAGATCAGTGATTTTCGCATGGACAAACAGTAATTCTCTCAAAGTTCCGTGTTAATAATAGACGGACATTAGATGAAAAGCTGCATATTCACGTATCTATTCGTGTGTGTCTACTGATGCGTGTAGTTCGGCGCAGTGAACTCTAAATAACGCGCGACAAATTACGATAGTCGTGTGAAACACCACACTTGCTAATGCCGATCAAATGAATACTTACTTAATCGTTGCCCTCGTGATGTTTACGCGGATATAAGTAGATTATGTTCATGACTGATGTTTTTCTTTCGTTTTACAAGCTTTTTGATAGCTTTTGATATTTGTACTATTTATGTGATTTGTTTAGGCTGAGGTTTACGAGATAATATGAATAGCAGAAAGATGTATTATGGAAGGTGGCTACATAAATATTTCGTCCGTCGGCAACTTGAAAATGAAGGCTTTTTAGAAAATAAGTAATTTGCATTTAACTTGATTTTTGTTGCGAAAATACAAATTACTAGAGGATATTCTTAAAATTTGATACGCACACAAAGGTGATCTAAAACAAAAATAGTATTTTAAATTACTTACTTTGAAAATAAAATAACCTAGACCTACAGTATAGGTATTTTCTACACAATAAATTATTAGATATTATATAATATACTAGCGACCCGCCCCGGCTTCGCACGGGTGCAATATGCATGTATTATACATATAAACCTTCCTTAAGAATCACTCTATCTATTAAAAAAAACCGCATCAAAATCCGTTGCGTAGTTTTAAAGATCTAAGCATACATACGGACATACAGCGAAAGTGACTTTGTTTTATACTATGTATTGATTGTTGAAAAGTTACATAAAGAGATTAAAAAAATTAATGGCCTTACGCCCGAATAGTGAAAGGTTACCCAATTAAGTTGTACTAAAATATCGTGTCATCTCTATCCTTTTAAAAAGACAGAACTATATTTAACTCGTCGAGTACCGGTTTTGTAGACAAAATTATAGAACAATAGGTTGCGGTCACCGGTGACCGCTTGGTGTTTGACAGTTTAAACTTAAATTTGATTGACGTTTGAGTGTTTCAGCGTTATACTTACGCATTATTAAAATGACCTAAAAATGTCTTGCCTGGTATCATAATAAAATGAAGCATTTTAAAGTATCCACATTATAACAGCTCATCACATCATCAACGATACAAAACATTACAATTATTTGCTTTTTGACAAAGACTAAGAAACACAAGTAAAATACTTAATTAAACTCAAACAACGGTAATAAGTTAGGCGTTAAGTGATTAGATTAAGTTACATGCACCCTTTGTACAAGTTGGGTTGGGGAGACGGTCCAAGTTTCGGGTTCGTCCCTAAGTTACGTTTGTAAGGACGCGGGTTTCAATTCACTGATCTCCTAAGATCTTATTTGTGTGCTAACTACGAACAATGGACTTAACATACGATGTGTCTATGTAGACATTGTGTAGCGCTAAGCTTATTACTGGCGAGGTGTTTCAAACTATCTCATTTATCAGATAGTGGAATGAATTGATTTGTTTTGTGATGTTTGGTTGTATTTAAATCTTCTTACTATTTAATTCGATAAGTAGATTTATTTATTATTAAAAATTGTTATTGAAATTCTACTTTATACTAATATTATAAAGAGGCAACATTTTTGTTTTTCTATGTGTGTACCGATATATGTCTGTAAGGTTTTCACACAGAAACTACTGGATGGATTTGGATAAAATATACACAGATAGATCATGTTCCGAAATAAAACATGGGGCAATTTTTATCCCAGGAATGCGAACGGAGTTGCTGGCAGAAGCTATTACTTTATATCTTTATAGATTATAAAATAGATTTGTAAATGATTGAACAAATAATCATATATCTCTTACGCTGGAATATTGAAAGGCTACTCAATTTTAAGTGGCACTTAAATATAGTCCTGTCACTAGAAATTCTTTGTAAAATGACAGAGATGACACGATATTTAAGTACCTAAGTTTTAAATAAGCAGTTTAAGCACGCAATGCAAGTTCAATTAAAACACATTTTAGGCAGATGACTATTATAGTAACTAAACTTGTCGATCTTCGTTCAGTATATTTATCTAAAGCTTATTTCTTGATCTGAATTATTCGGAGAATATTCTTTAATATAAATATGATAAGCTTCCAATTTGAATGTCGAAGTCAATGCATTTATTTCAATTAATAAGCACGTTTTATTCTATTATCTATCAGCCGGTTTGTTAGCAAATCACTTTAGCTAAGTCTCATTCACAATACATATTAATTGTAGATTCTTATGATATTTATAATATTTATTCATCATCATGATCAACAGCCGAAAGACGTCCACAGCTGGACAAAGGTCTCCCCCTTACTCCTCTAAATAATGTTTATTATAAATTTAATAATAATATTTATAGTTTAACTTGTAATATAAATTGCATAACATTATATGGTAAAAGAAGAATAATTTGTCTGAAACGAATAATGGCTATTGATTAAAAAAGACTTGTTAACTTAAATAAAAATAAATTAACTTAATTTACGCCTTTGTATAAATATAAAAATACTACTATACTTCTGCGCGGCTTCACACGCTCTACTCAGCTCCTATTGGTCGTAGCTTGATGTTTTATAGCCTATAGCCATCAACACAAAAATAATTATTGTAATCAGACTTGTAGTTACGGAGAATAGCGCGTATAATATATAACAAACAAACAAAAAAGTACTCTTCCGCTTTATATAATAGTATAAGATAAGATTTGGTAGTACATTATATACAAAACGTGTTGCGACGGATGTTTAGCTTAAGATAAAAAGTCTACGTAACTACTTATTAATTTCATAGCTTAAATATTTTTATCTACAATTCCTCATAATAGAGATATTCTTTGTTAAAATTCTTCATAACCTTTGTTAAAAGTGTGTTGTAAGTAAATAAAAATTATGAATGGAGATTATCCTGTTCATAAGTGTTAAACGATACAAATAACAGAAACTTAGGAAGGCTACCCCTTTTTTGTACTTTTATTTTTTTATTTCTAAATTAAATATTTCGGTAGACAGGCTTGACTATCTACTTGCACCAGTTCAATATACTGATAATATAATAATCTCATTTTACAACCTAAGGATAAGTAAGTACAAATCTACTAAGGTAATATAAATTGTTCTCGATAAGATAAAAGTATTTTAACCATTAAAAAAGCTTTTTCTTTCCGGTCACCAACAGCTTGTAATTTTCTTTAATTATCAGCTTAGGAATGGACAATTAATTACTTTACAACAGTATTTTGTATTCAAATCAATTCAAAATATTTTGTATCAAAAGCTAAAAGGCACTAACTGGTAAGACTTATATATTTATTTTTGACGAGTAAAATATTGTTGGCCAAACTATTTATTATGTTCATACTAACTGTAAAGTAACAATAACAAACAATGACAGATGACTTAGAAATAAATCCAATCAGCTGACCTGTTCCCATCCTACGGACTGCCACGTTTGGCGCCCGTTGTCGATCCCAGAAGGCAGACAGCTCGACAGTTGTCTTTGAAGCTCAGTTCAAATCAATCCACGAAGTTCAAGTAAATACATAATCATTCACTAAGTTAACAATAGTCTTCTGAATACACAAAAAATCACACTGTCAGAATTGAAAATGTTCTCTCGCACAGACATTCATTACCCAGTGTAGAGTCAATACATATGTACGAAAGTTTTAATGACTTCTGTAGGTGACTTCACCACCCTGTCGCGGCTTTCGGCAGACTGCTCCGATAATTGTGATCTTTGAAGCCGCTGCGGAGATCGCGAGTCACGTCATCCCCTGATTACATTGAGTCCCACCCCCTGAGCAGGACAACACCATACAGGAGGCACGGGAGCGAGGGAGATGGGTGTGATCCCATCTTGTGTCCCAGTCCACAGGCTACATTGTCAGGGCAGCGGTCGCTACGTATCTGACTGAATTACGTGCAAACATAATGGTTGCATTACGGGATGAAGCGAGGCGATTGTTTACGCTTCGGATTTTAATTTAAAAATATTTTTAACACTTTAGGAGCCTATGACACAACGAGGTAAATGCTTATCTATCATTTAAGAAAAAAGGACTAGCTAGAAAATAATTTAGGTACAACGTTGATATCTTTCCTTTGCGCAATTTAAGCTCTTATTTTATTGTCACTGAGTAGGGTTTCCAAATGTTTATGATACAAAATTGAGATGAATATTGTAAGTAAGTACAATAAGACAAAAACACATAAGAAACAAAAAGGTCTCGAAGAATGTACTTTCAGAACTATCAGTACAATAAACATTAAAATGTCAAGTTAGATCACGGGGTGAGCGAGGCAGCTTAATTGGCTGGGCGGCGGCGCGGGCCAATGGGAGCGCGTGTGGCGCACGAGGGGCGGGCCGTGCAGCTTTTGATGTGAACCGAGCTACGAAGCGAAGTCGCCACGTGAACCGTTGAATAGGACAAGGATGCTTGTCTAATGAACGATACTAACATCTAAGGTACACGGAGCTACGCTCGTACCGACACCGTCCACTTTGACCGAACACTTTCTGTGTGTGCCACACACCTTATACAAACTTTTGATGAAGCTTTCTTTATGATGTTCTTACACAAACTTTTAGTAGTTTGTAGTATATTTTTATTTTCTTTGCTATCTATCTGCACAGTGAGAAAAGATGTTGTGTACTGTTTTGGTTTGAAATTGTTTTAATAACGTTTTGCAAGAATAACTACGAATAAACATTCTTAAACTATTTTACTTTCAGTAAATATCGCGTTATCTACCTCTATACATATAATAAAATAGTAGGAAAGTCAAAACTGTACATTTAAAGTTATTTTAAGAGAATACTTGAGCCGTTAGCTACAATTAAGAAATAAAAACAACATAGCCAAATTCTAATTCAAATACCTAGTTAACCAAAGTCTTTTGCAAACGATTGCACAATAAAAACATTATTGTTCTCGTTCCTATTTGCATCGCAGTACAATAGACTCAAGTATGTAAGTAGTACTTATTTCGCCACCCTCTACTCTGTGTACAGAACCCCATATCTTATAGGTGAATCCCAGCGATTATGTGGAGCATGTTGTTTTAGCGCGGCCGTCGGCGTAATCCCGGCGACCGGGCGGCGACCGGCGACCGGCGACGGCAACCGGCCGCGACCCACGGCACGCGATCTCACTAAACGTTTGCGCTTCGCACCCAAGTACCAGTAATCCGGGGATACGTGACCGGCTATTATGGCGTTACGGTTGTGTTTTCCCCTATTTTGTCGCATTTTCGTGCATTTCTTTTTCAACTGTATAGGTACATTACGTAATAATCGTTTTAGTTTATTGTTGTATCACATTAGAATTTGAGAATTGATTAGGAAACAATAGACTTTTTCCTTATAAAATTTAGAAGACTACCTAAAGTTTCTATTATCAAGAGCTGTGTGAGAAGTGGTAAGTAATAAAGTGCAAACTTCAATGACTGCACATCAATAAGCTTCTAATCAAGAGTAAAAATATTGCAAAAAAGTTAGATGTCATTACATTACTCAAAAATTACAATAAATTTTCTCACATTCCAATTCCCACGAGTCCCTCAATCATTTTACAATATTATTAATTTAAAATTATTGTTTTTTAATAAACACTTGAGGTTCAAAAGTAGGTTACAAATCCTATGACGATTGTTCATTTTAGAATAGAAAACATATGCGTTCGTGATAAAAATAATATGAAAGGGGTTGCCAACGCTACGACCACTTCAGGAGTTTAAAAAATTAATAATGTGCGCGTGACCATTCTTTTATTCGATGTTACCCCTTTTTAATTGTATCAATAATGTAAACTTTATTTACATTATAAGTGTTTGTCGTTTTTTAATTTGCCTTTTTTAATTTTTAACTATCTTGATATTGTTTAAAGGGCTATTTAAGTACGAATTTACTTACTATTAATTATAACATAACATTA